TCTGGACACTCAATAGCTCAATGTGTGTGGAAGATAAGAAGAAAAGATAAGGAACAGTGGTTTTGATGAGATTGCCAGGAAATCAGAGGATGAGCCTCCTTATCCAGGGACAAAAGGAAAAGAACACCAAATCCTCAGGAAGCACAGCAAGTTGCATGCCCACTGACCCTACTCTACTTCTGCACTAATGGAAGAGACTTACATGAAATGGTCATGCAGTGTATCTAATAAATAATAGGTGCTGTTTTCCCCCTGATGTATTTATTTTTGTATGTAGAAACCCCTGTGCTAACTTATTCACTAAGAAAAACTACATATTATAGTCTTCAGAATCAAAAGAAATTGACCTTACTTTGAACATTATAGCATTACTGACCTCTGACAGAAAGTATAGGAGTTACAATGTACCATTATATACCTTTTCTGATCTTTTATGTACAGTAAATTCAAGATAAATATTACATACTAAGAAAATAAATACAAAGATGAAGAGAATGTTTAAAAAGATAACTGTCTGAATGTGCTAGCAATTTTTAAGCCTGTATTACAAAACACAGATATTAATAAGGAGCACAAGGGACTCTAGTGTATTCTAATAATAAGCATGTGAGGAGAGTTACAAAAAAATTAAAAACAAATTTATGGACCTGTTTTGCTTTTCTATGCATCACTTGCCAAAGAACTTCCCATTCCTAGATCAAAATACATGGTGGGAAGTGCTAGATAGTACCTGAAAGAAATAGGCATATGTGCTGCATGGAACATGGAACTGAGATAAACTTAGGAGAGACATCTAATTTGAGACCCTATAGAAATATCAAATGATGTTTTTACAAGAGAGCCTTAAAAAATCACAAAACAAAATGCGCTGAGTTAAGGAGGGGCTTGGATATTTTTAACTCAAAGCACACAGTGATCTCATGGTTGCAAACTAAAACCATTGGGTCAAATTCAGGCCATTCTGGTTTTTGCTGTTGAAACACAATTGTGCTTATTCATTCACATATTGTCTCTTTGCTTTCAAGCTACAAGAACTTATGTAGCTAGGTGCAAGAGACCATAAGCCTACAAGTCCTGAACAAGTTACCATCTAGCCATTTGCACAAAGTTTGCCAAGCCATCATCCACAGGATCACTTAGCAAACATTCATTTACCTCTCAATATCTATAACCATGGGATAACATACAGCCAGACCACCATAGCTGAAATTCTACATCTATAGATTAAACCAATTTTACATCAAAATATTTTTGAAAAACTGTCCCTGGTCTAAACATGCACAGATTTTTCATATTGCATTATTCCATTAACAATATATTGTAACAACTATTCACATAGGATTTATCTTGGATTAGTTACAAGTAACCTAGAAATGTACAGTACTGGGACCATGTGTGTAGCTTTTATGGAAATTCTACATCATTTCATATAGGGGACTTGAGCATCCATGGATTTTTGTATTTGCAGGTGTCTTTGAACTGCTCTGCTTAGAACACCAAAGCAGGAGTGGTTCCATTGATGTTTGAATTGGCCATGAGATTTGCTTTGTTTAGTAAAATGTTGGAGAAATGTCATTGTACAAATTTTGAAGCTATGCCTTGAGGCCTGGCTAGCCATTGTCCCTCCATTGTTAGAATAAGAAGTGTGGAAGAGAACCACCCTATTGCTTATTTACAGATTTGCATGAGAAAAAAATGCTTTTTTTTTTTTTGCATTCTGTGTTTGTTTGCTCTGCAGAAAAGCCAACTAATAGAGAGGAAAGTTATACCTCTTCCTAAAAGCTTCCTTTATAAGCATTCTCTAAATATTTCAATTCTCTGATTTATGACACTGGTAGGATCCTGAAGACCAGGTGTGACTTAATCATTTTGGACTCTTACTTCATACCTTGATTGGCTCAGCAGAACATGTTTTTATTCCTCTAAATCTGGTAAGCAATACTGAATCAGATTTCAAGTCTACCAGAACTGTGGAATCTTGACTTTCCTAAGCTTAAAATTGTGTGAAGTCAGTCACAATTTTTTCCACTGTTGGATTAAATGTCTTGCTCCTTATTTGAGCCTCAATTAACAGAAAGAAGGAGGAACAAGTCAACATGGAGCCATAAGCCAAAGCTTTTACAATTTTTCACAGTTTGGCTCTTTATACCAGAATGTTTATTTCTTTATTGACACAATAAAAGGGATAAAAGATAATGACAACTCTGAAACTACACAAGAGGAAACAGTAACATTAAAATGATATAAAGATCCAAGAATTTAACACTGTTAGCAAGATTAGCTCAGATGAAATTAAAGTATAATAAACCTTAACAATTTTGACTTTTTCAGAATTCTTATGTTTATATCTCAAGTTATTAGACTATAAACAAGCCTTTTACTGTCCTTTTTCTTGAAATCATCAAACTGAGTAACATCAGTGGTCCACTAATTCCAAAAAGGCATTCAAGGTAACAAATTTGTCACAAAAACTTGTAGTTGCTCATGGTCTCTGGAGTTCAGCATTTTATTTGATTCTATATGGCATTAATATTATTCCATTAATCTTTCCAGAGTCAGGTTTTGCTGTTTTCTAACAAGCAAGAGGCTGGCTAATTGTGAAGCTGAACTAACTACAAAATGAATTGTAGGCAAAAAGAATAGTAGCAGCTCCTACTATTTAGAGTAACAGTGAAATCCAGACCATTAATTTCTGAACTTAACTCTTTAACAACAGAGAAAGTATGTAGTAAATCACAAAAGTGGTATGATACAGATCATTTAGTTTTATTGTGACAAACAAAAGACAATAATGACTGAAATTTAGGTATTATGAACAATATATGGGAATGATATTTCTGCTGTGCTTTTCAAGAGTGAACAATCACATTTAATTATGCCCACCAATTAGCAGAGAGGCATTCTATATTCTTTGAAACTCACTGCTCTATATAAAATATCCAAACCTATTTCCTAAAAAGAAGAATAGAAGTTTCACCTGTATATTTTTATTGAAGCTCTATTTGTGCTTTCCTTCTTACCTTGTATTTCAATTGTTAGAGCTTATGAATAAAGAATTCAAATGAATGTTTTGTTCATTGACTCATTTTTTTTTGCCAGAACAAGGGCTTGAACTCATTGTCTCAAGTGCACTACCATCTGAGTCTCCAGCAAAATGAACGTTGTAATCACAACAGTATTCACTTTATACTGTACTTGAAGTTGTATGAATTCTACACATTTCATCCTACCTAATTCACAACCAGTTCCATATGTCCAAAACTACTTTTTTTATTAGGGAATAAACACTTGTGGGTGACCATTTATAGACCACTGGGCCTCAGGAAGCTTCAACAACTCTAAGGAAGAGGCTTTCCTAACAGCATTTACTCTACTTATCACCAGAAAATATTGGCATCTCTTTGTCCACCACTAAAATGGAAAAAAAATATATAACACACTAAACTTTACTCTTGCCAAGCACACAACTGAAGCAAAATAATGCTTTATCCAGAGATAAAGAAGACAGAAAAATGCATAATTAAATGAACTTATTTGGCTACTTCCTGGTTCTTTGTCATATACTTTCTTTTCTCTTGTAAGGTCTCAAGCTTCAGAAAAACAAACACCTTGTTTCATCTTATTGGCAGTTTATATACCATATTCTGCACATTAATAGATGGCAAATATGTGATTTTTCCATGAAGGATACAGACTATGTGCACATACTTAATAATAGGGAAGGTTAAATGAGTTAATATATATTAAAGAGCTTAGAGCAGTGTCTAATCAAATATTTATTAAAATGAGCAAAACTAAGGTTAGATGTACAATGGAGATCAGAATTGTTTTTAGAAGTTCCAAAACTTCTAAACAATGCTGAAAATTGGTGAGAACTGAATAGAGACAATGTAGTTGATAAGGATAGTAATGAAGGCTATGAATAAGCATGATGATGAAGAACATAAGAAAAACTAGGCTGACAATAGGCTGAGAAAAAAGGTGCCACAATATAACATTTGCTAAATTGAACTAATTATAAATGACATTAATCCCTTTAAAATGAAGCTTATTTTAAGCACATTGTTGTAAGATGAAGAAGACACTATTATCAAAAGATATCATTTACTATACTGAATCTCTTCTGATTACACTGTATTAATACACTAATATCAAAATATTTTAAGAAAAATTTAAAAATATACATTTAGCACTACTTCTTCATTTTCACTTAATGTTTGATATCTAAAACATAAAACATTAACAGTTCTTTACCAGAGAAATTAAACAGTACAAATATTCATTGCTCCAAGAGTTAAGTTTTATATTAAAATCCAATATCAGTAGATTTTTTTCAGTATGGGATCTACACACTAAAACAAATGATAAAAGACCCAATAAAACAGTATTTCTCTACTTTTACTATATTTCACATTCAATTATGTGTATATTCTGAGTCATTATTTTTACTCATTTTATTAAATACTTGATTAAGTACTTAATCAAGTATTAACACTGTTTAAACACTGTTTAAACACTGATTAAACACTGTTCTAAGCTCTTTATCTGTATTTACTCATTTAACATTTCCTAGTATTAAATAAGTGCACATAGCCTGCATCCTTCATGCAAAAATCATATTTAATATCTATTAATGTGTATATTACTATGTGTAAACTGCTAAGAATGAAACAAGGTGCTGAGTTCTTAGTTGAAAAAAATGACTAAGTATTTAGCCTTGTAGCAAAAATTTTCCATGTATAATTTAACTTTAAAGAACTTCACATTACAATGCTTACAAAATATTCTGGTTCCTCTTGAACAATGTTCACTAAATGAATTATGTTAAACCCATGGTAAGTCAAAAATGTCCCCCCACAAATGGAAAAATTATGCACATTCATCAAAGTATAATGTTGGCTTTCCCCATGTGAAAATTTAACAATGAAAAAAAAACATTAATTGTTGATCTTGTTTTAGGAGTACAAGATTTGAGGATTACATTATTGTCCCCATCTCACCTTTAGTCATTGACAGGACTTTGTTGGTCACCAAGTTGTTTACTTTGGGGATTGTGGTAGTAAAGAAAGGAAGATGGATATCTTCAGAACTGGCAATGAACTGAGGTCCCATTTTTCAGGTCCAATCAAATCTTTGTATAAATCATTAGATTAAATGAGCCTATGTTAGGGATAAGAAAGTACATTACTTTTCAAAATCAAAACCATCCCACAAATCTCTCAACAGGACGTGCTTATGAGGCAGATGCTTTACCATTTCAGCCATAACTCCACCACTTTTTTGTCCCAGTTATTCTGGAGATTCATGCTTTTTTGCACAAGCTGGTCTGGATGGTAATACTCCTATTTTACACTTCATGACTAGCTAGGAAGAGAGGCATATGCCACTAGACCCCACTTTTTTCCTTTGAAATGAGCTCTGATTTTTTGCATGGACTGGCCTGGAACTGTGATCTTACCAGTTTCAGTCTGTTTTGTAGTCTCAGTGTCAGGGACATAGCACTGTGCTCAGACTCTCAAGCAGCTAGGGTTACAAGTATGAGCCACCAGAGCTCAGTTGTGTACTTTTTTATGAGAAATACAAATTTTTATTTTCTGTAAGGAGAAAACCATTGAAATACAGTAAGCATACAATTACATAAAAAATGAACATTAGGCACAAGAAATCTATATACTACTGTTCATATCAATGGTTGGCACATAGAAGGCATTTAGTAAATACTTCATGAATGGAGTAACTAAGAAGGAAAGAAAGATACAATAACATTTAAAGTCATATTATATGAAATAATGGGTAGAAAATAAAAGTAGTGAAAAGAATTACATGAAAATGTTCAACAGTGGGTGTTATGGAATCCTTTTCCATTTTCAATATTTACAAATTTTCTGGAATTCATATACACATGCACACATGCTACATTGTAATTATAATGAAGAAAAAAATTAATGAAGTGTGGTTCACACAACAGTAGCTTAGTCTTATTCCGAATAAATCTAACGCAGTAAGTTGCATAATACATATAAAAAACATTTAACAGTGCCAGAAATGTCACTATAACTGTGATCTGTCTGATCACTGAATGGATTTATTCCTGGACAGCTTTCTGAGCCATTTCTCTGGGAGCATAGCAAAGAAACCAAATTGGTTAATTCATTTTAAGTTTTAACTTAAGAGAGTTTGCAAGCTTTAGGATGTTGTAAAGTATCTTGGGAAGTTCATAGGACAATAAATGAAGCAGAGTAGAGCCACATCTTAAGTTGTGAGGGGACCTGGGGCCATTTTGTATAGTTAAGAGTACCTTTCAATAACTGACTAACTGGTCCATATAGTATATAACCTGTAGTTCTGCATATATCACCAAAAATACTAAAATTCAAAATTTACTGATTTAGGCTAGAGGCAATTATATTAAAATTATCCTATCTATGCAAACCAATGAGGTACTACCATAGCCTAGGATATTTTCCTTGAAGATATTTTAGAAAACACACCTTAGAAACATACTACCTCAGTAAGTTAGAACACATTTGCAATTATAGCAAGTTTTGAAAACATACATCAAGGTAAGAATAATTTAATCTACACCTCTCTCTCATCTTTTGCAGTCTTGTCACATTCAATATCCAACTGCTACCACTTTTCAGTATTTGAGATGACTACCACCAGTTTCTGAATTAACAGTTGTACAGCCAGTATTGTGTAGTTCACTTTCTTGCAAAGCAACTCTTTCCGAAGCTCACACTTTCTATCTGTAGTAAATTTCAACCACTGGTATTTTGGACTGCCTCTCACATTTAAGGAAGTTTGCCCCATCAATAATAGAGCTTCTGTTTTTGAATTGTTAATATCATGAGCAGGTATATACTAGATGTTGAGGATACAGCATGTGGTGCTTTTGAATAAATGCAAGGTAAGAACTTAGGAAAGGGACATTAATATAATTATGAACACAAGAGATGTGAAGTTGTAATTATGATATCTGTTATGGAGAGAGAGGGATAGAGCAGTGACAGCATAATAGGAAATTATGGCCCATTCAAGAAGGTGAGGAAAGCATTGGTTTTAGTTCTAATGATTAACTAACTAAGCATGCAAAAGTAGAGGGGAAAAAAGGCTTTAAATATTACAAAGTGGACAGGATGGGACCAGAGCATTGAAGCAAACCAATACAACTAGAGTGAAGAAAGAGAAGGTTAACTAATTCTGGTAAAATAAGAGCTCAGAGCGTGCAAATCCATGTCTCAAATTAAAGAAATCATACTTAAGAATCAGGAAAATCACTATTGTACTTGAAACAGAGCAAGATGAGTTAAGACTTGTATTTAAAACTATCATCCACACTATCATGTAGACTATGGACTGAAAGATATAAAAAGAGCATCTATGGATACTAGTTAGTTCATTGGTAATTTGATCAAAAAGGAATGAAAGCTTATAGGATATAAGTAGTAGAGATGTCACCAAGACATTTCGTGGTTATAAATTATTAAGATTTACTGGATTAGCCATGAGAATAAGGAAGAGTAATGATTCAGAAGTAGCTCTCAAGTTTCTGACTTTTCTTTCTATTTAGACTATTAAGCTACATTGAGAGATTATCAATTTGGAAGACTATCCTAAATTCAGCTATTAGTGTGCTAGTACAAAGTTATCTCCAGATTAGCCACATCAAGATACAGTTGTTAGAAACACAGGTCTAGAATAAGAAGAGATCTGGGTTAGAGAAAAGCAAATGGGTTGACTCCACAAAGTTGTTAGTGAAGCTATGTCGATGTCAGAGATAACCTAGACAGAGGTTATAAAGAGAAGAAGCTCAGAATGAGCCCTGAATTAATCTTGAAATTGGGACAGCATATTCAGAGAAAGAGATGAAACTAAGAGAAATAATTCAAGGTATAGCATACATAGAAAATATTAGAGAGGAGCAGTAATATAAGGCCTCTAACAGTTAGAGGAAATGAAATTTTTTTTAAAACCTGGAACTATTTGCCTGTAAGGAAGAGCAATTCTTTATTTTAATTAATAGAGAAAATGAGAAGTTCAGTAAGATGAAGATGAACATTCATAGTGTCCTAGAGGACCACAGCAGATGATGTGATTATGAACAACTACAGATAACTTAATTCTGACCTCTGTTTTTGAAAGCTATTCTGAGAGTGGTGGGCTGTTGCTATCTATGTGTTTCTTATTTTGCACTTGAAAATACAAGTTTATCCCCATTACTAGCAAAGCTCTCATCTTGCTGTTTATGCTAGTACTGAACTACCAGAGCAGAAGTTCTCAATCAAGCAGGATTTTGTACCCAGAGTACCTTTAGCAATACACAAGACATTTTGATGGTGAAAGCTAAAAGGTGTGTTTAGTCACATCTAGTGGGTAGAGGTCAAGGATGTTGCTCACATCCTATAATACACAAGAAGCACACCACACTTAATACAGAACAAAATGTCAACAGCACAAAGGATAAGAAAACCTGTACTACACAATAAACCCTCATCCTTTGCCTGTCATTCTTGAGAACTGACCTGCTCAAGTTTGAGGGATATAACTCCTGTTGATATGAAGGGTAGGGAAACATTAAAGGATATGGCTTCAAGAGAAATATCACAGGGCACAGTGGTGCACATGGTAATGTAATGTTCTTGAGAGGCAGAGAATGGAGAGCTCAGGCCAGCCTGGGCAGTTAGCCAGATACTGTCTCCAAAACAAAATACAAACAAAAGGGCTAGGCATGGTTCAAGCAGAGGAACACTTGCCTAAACTGTTCAATCTCAGTACAAGTGCAAAAAATAAACAAAATTGTTTCAAGCTAACAAAGTTCAGATGGCCATCAATGGAAGGCTCTCTTAAGACTAACAAAAATGAAAATTATAATTTAAAGAATGAAGCTATGATTGAAACTAATTAAAAAATTCTGAAAACAATGATTTCTGAATTTAAAACTTAAAAAAAGATGGTACTGAAGGACTTTTGGATTCTGGAGATGGGGAGAAACAAGCTATAACTAATTAGAAATGAGACTCCTAAGCAGAGAGAGAGCTCATGAGGAATAATAGGAATAGTAGAATGAAAAAAGAAGTGATGGTGAACAAGCATTGATCCAAAAGGTGACACAATAATTTCTTGAATTTAACAAAAAGAAAACGTGTTTGAATTTGAATAAGAGGCAATATTTTTCAAAACGCCAAATGGAAATAGTTGAAAAATAAAACTC